TCTTTAAAGACAAAGAACCATGGTTCTGTGCCTTATCTTTGGGTAAAGTATTATTATTTTCTCATTTCATACACTACATAAGACATAGGAAATTATAAAATCTCATTTTCTCCATGTCTACCTTCACAGCCTTCAGACTGCCAGATTTCGTGGAGTTTTTTTTCCACTCATTTCACACAAAGATACATTTGTATGCATAAATGTTGAATTTTACCATATATTTTCTTGCCTGGCAACATAAATAAGCTGTTAATACACAAAGCATTACAGACATTCTCTGTGGTGAGACGTGACAGAACATCATTAGTTACTCATTCTTTTACACGTCTTCATTTAGAAATGTAATAAGTTAATATCAAGCATGTTTTCTATCTGCAACCTGACCAAAAAAATTACTTTTACATAATGTTAATGGAAATTTGTAACTGGAGTCTCATTATGGGTCACAGTTACTTTGCTGAAAAAAAAAAAAACAAACCAGCAATGACAAAATTGGGTTGGTATCCATTCTCTCAAAATAAGTTTTGCAAACAGAAGCTTTCATATAATTAGATTACTTTAGCCTGAAATTTTTACACTGTAGCAACATCCTACCCATTGGGAAGGAAGCAGAAAAGGATTTGGTGTATATATAGGTCTATTCCATATGTCGGAGTCTCAGGTTCCAGTTACACAAATTTTTTTGTCAGTTTGGATAAGTCGGTCATCTGAGTTCCAGAGATACAAGGCAGATGAGAAGCAGCAAATTAGAACAGGGGAATAGACACATACCCAACTCATGAAATTGAACTTCCTGACCTCATATAGCACTTTGCTGTTGACAAAATGACCATGGAGAGCCCCCTGCTGGCAGGATAAGAGGCAGATAAAGAGTGCCTGGATGGGTCAAACAAGCAGTGGGCAGTATTGTGGTATGGTGCGGGGGATTATCATTTTCCAGATCGATAACCCTAACTCGTCATTTTAAGGAAAAAAACTAAACTATCATCATTTGACACATATCGCCAATGTGGCTACTGTGTACTGGACCATGAGCATATAAAAGTCTCCAGGGAACGTGGAGCCCAGAGTGAATTAAAGCCCCTGGGACTTCAAGTCACAGCCAGTCGCGACCAGGCCACACCATGGGTCCATCCAGAGGGTATATAGAAGAGAATGGAGAAGATAGATTTGTTCTGAAAATGAACATCCATAGGCATAAAAGGTGTTAAAAGGTTGGTGTTTCACGTCGGCAAAGTGACTCTTTTTCCTGGAGAATACAGAGAGCTGAAGTTAAAAATCATAGTTACCAGGTCCAGAAAATAAAACCAACGTAACATGAGCACACAGAGCTTGCGGGGCGGAGCCAATAGCCGTTACGGAGACACCATGTCAAACGGAGCCGGCGTCCTCTCTCCACAGGCTGCCCCACTTCTACTGCCACAGCGCTGGCCCTGAGCGCACGAGGAAGGACAGCCACATGGTTGCCAAGTGCAGGGAGGCCCAGGGAGCCTTGTCCTGAAAGCTCTCCAGCACTTAGGCTTAATAGTCTAGCCGTAGTAATCGTAGCAAATCACTCAGGTTGAATTATGAATCTTTGGGTCCTTCCATTTCAAATGCAAGCATCCCTGGGAGGTGATAACTGTGAAGCCTTCTGTTACTGAAAATGAGCATCAGAAATCTTTTTCTTGGGGCAAAAGGATGAGCAAGAAATGAAGCTCGTGAAGTGGACATGAAGAGAAATGGACTATTTGTTTTGTATTTTTGCATCTGGCCAAACCTGTGCCATAGTTCCAATGAAGGCTTTCTTTTTTAATTTTTTTAGTAGGCTCCATGCCCAGTGTGGAGCCCAACATGGGGCTCGAACTCAGGACCCTGAGATCAAGACCTGAGCTGAGATCAAGAGTCGGGCACTTAACCGACTGAGCCACTCAGGTGCCCGGAGAGGCTTTTGTTTTAATGGGTTTCCTTACTATTAAAATGTCGCATGTTCCTCATATAAATTGGTTTTGCCAGCACCAGACTCACAATAATACGCTCTTATGCCAAAGCAGCCTCAACCAGCTTAGTCAAGACTAAAAATAGCAATTCAACCCGGTCATCATCAGCCTCGTTTTGCTTCTGCTTCTTTTCAAAGAAGCTTTGTTCATTCCTAACCCTGAGAGAAGCTCAGTGCTCCCTGGGAAATATGGTGAAGATGTTCATTCTGCTGGTTTCAAAAGAACCACAATTTTAAAGTCTTAATTTTATTCCTAAGTATAGCTCTATTAACTTAGTCTGCTGATTCCATAACAAATATGGAGGAGCTGAACAAGTGGAAAGACAGGAAAATCACATTATTCATTAGAAAAAAAAAAATTCCTCCTGGTTTTTTAAAGACTTTTAGAAACTTTGTTAATATGGATTATAACAACATTTAAATCTTTCAAATAGGGTGAACTATCCTGCCCCAGCGTTGGGTGTTTTTTTCTGCTTACATGTTCTAGTTGAGCAGTTGTCTTGCCATTTCCACCATTCCCCATTGTTGACAAGCTAACTAAAGTTAGAAACAGCTACAGGAACAATGATTCCATAGCCAAGCAACCATGGCACTCAGTTCCTTTAAAATGATGATCACAAGTTTATACAGGGATTAGATGGGAAGTTAAGTTTTCATGTTGGAATGTGCAGGTAAGAAATTTAGGCATGGTTAGGTTTTTCTGAAAACCTAGCTGCTAAAGGTAGTTCCTTCATGCTGCCTTCCGCTTGTATCTGCAATAGTCCTAAATTTGAGCTGGGAAAGGCACAAGATTTAAAGTGCATTTCTAGTGAGACCAAAAGAGAAAAGTGCCAGCAACTTTGTAAAGGGAGCTCCTGTGTCAGAAAGAAGCTAATTCCATTTCACATATGCATAGTGCCGTGAACTTATATATATCTTATAAATCATTTCAGTGTAAGTACATACATTCTGAAGCCACAGAAGTAAAATTGTGCTCATCATTTATCGACCTTAAATTTTTTGATTCAAAATAGATTTAAAATTTCATGCTTTAGAATTACAGTGTTAAGGCTCAGCCTTTCTCCGTTCATCACATAGTTTTCAAATAGAAGTTGATCTTTCCCATTCAAACAAGCAGACATAACCCAGTGATTATCAGATTGATGACAGAGCCCCTCTTCCTTTCTCTAGCCTGAAGTCTATAATGTATATCATGTTCCAGTAAGAGAAAAAAGAATATAAAATTTTATTTTCCAGTGGATACTTATTAGTGATAGGACATATATTTGCCCTTTTCTGTTTTCTTTTCTTCTGTTTATTTTTATTAAAAAAATTATATTTTTAATTGTAGTAAAATGCACATAACATAAAGTTTACCTCCTTAACCATTTTACAAGTACCAGTAACGATATTAAGCACATTCACATTGTTCCACTACCATTACCACTATCCATATCCAGAACATTTTCTTCATCCCAAACAGAAATTCTGTACCCAGGAAACAATAACTCTCTACTGGGGACATGTTTTTTAATACAAGAATCTGTGGTTTCCTCAGGTGTGGTAGTTATTACACCTACAATTGCAGATTATGACTTTGGGGGAGAAGAATTCCTGCCCAAGTTTTATGTGAATAACTCCGGATGTGGTCCCTTTATATCTCTATCCCATTTGTCTTTTCCCACTAAAATCAAACATGTGCATATTAAAACACTGAATGTCAAAGAATTTAAATATTAATTGGTTATTTCAAAAGTATACCAAATGAATATGACTTCTCAAATATTTTTGTGAGTTCTTTTTTTTTTTTTTTTTAAAGATTTTATTTATTTATTCATGAGAGACAGAGAGAGAGAGAGAG